TTCTGAGGTTTGTCATTCGTAGGGGTGCGACAGCTGGTTAACGGAAAAACAGATTTTAAACAGATTTTTCAAACAGATATCTCGTCGTTTTTCTTTGAAAACAACAATCAGCCAGCTTTCTGATTCTTCAGATAGGTCTGGGTAACGAAGCACTTTATGCTTAAAAAGACTATCACCTTCTAAACGAAAGGAAGGGTATTTCTCAGGACATTTCTTGATTTTCTGACACATACCTTTGTACCATGTGTCCTTGCATTGATTTTCATCCGTGTTAACGACAATGGCGGCATCTATGACTTCCCACATAGGTACCGTTCGGGACAGAGTATCTGGGATGACGTGGTCCTTGCCCTTACGATGCACTATATCGAAGTCATATTTCTGCAATCTCACAGCCCATCTGGCAATACGGCCAACTGGATCCTTGATATTGTTGATCCATTGAAGACTCCAGTGATCTGTCACAACGGTAAATCGTGTACCCTCTATATACGGTCGGAGTTTTTCTACGGCGAACAAAACCGCTCAAACACTCCTTTTCAGTGGTACTGAAACGTCTTTCTGCAGCAGTAAGAGACCGACTGAGGTAACAGATAACCTTTTCTCCTTCACTCGTATTCTGAGACAATATGGCTCCGACTCCATAGTCCGAAGCATCTGTCTGAACGATAAAAGGTAGGTCAAAGTTAGGACAAGCCAATATTGGTGCCGATATCAAACTATCTTTAAGTGAACGAAATGATTTCTCACAATCTTCAGACCAATCAAATGTCTTGTTCTTCCTAAGTAGTGCGCATAACGGAGCGGTCAAGGTGGAAAAGTTCGGTACAAATCGCCTATACCAAGAAGCTAATCCAATTATCCTTCGCACTTCAGTGGGATTCTTAGGTGGTGAAATTTGGACGATTGCTTCAACCTTTGCGGGATCTACCATAAGTCCAGGAGCGCCAACTACATACCCTAAATATTTCAGTTCAGGTTTACACACGTGACATTTCTTTCGATTGAGAGTTAATCCTGCATTGCTAAGATGCTTGAATACTCCAGCAAGAACTTCGAGATGTTTGTCAAAAGTATCAGTGCAAATTATAACATCATCTAAATAAACGAAACAATATTTCTCCAAGTCTACTCCTAGAACCCTATCAATGAATCTCTGCCAGGTTGCAGGAGTATTATGCAGACCCATCGGCATACGACAAAACTGAAAGAGACCCCTGTTTGGAATCACAAAGGCGGTATAAGGTTTGGATGTCTCGGCTAAGTGAATGCCAATACGCAGATTTTATATCCAGAGTTGTAAGATAGTGAGCATCTCTTAATTTATCTAGGGTAGAGCTAACAAAGGGGAGGGGATACGCGTCGCGTACTGTCACCTTGTTTAACTATCTATAATCCACTACAAAACGGTACTTGCCATCTTTTTTCTCAACCAAAAGGATTCTACAACTCCATCGCTGATCATTTGATCCAGTTCCTCATTTACTTGCCGCTGTAGAGCCGGACTAATTGGGTAGTGTCGAAGTTTGATTGGAGTAGTGGTAGTTACGTTGATAGTATGTTCTATCATTTTTGTTACTCCCAATTTATTTCCCATCTGCTGAAATGTATCTAACAATTTGTTCAATTTGTTTCTTTGATCACTAGAGAGCGAATCTAGATCAGAAATTGCTGAAATCTCACACGACGCCTCTACCTCACTTCTAAATGTCCAAGTTCCAGAAAACAAATCGGGCACTAATCCTAAAGTTGCCTAAAAATCTATCCCTAAAATCAGGTGATGACGAATAGACAGTAAGACCAATACTTCCAGTACCTTAGTCCTTCTTTCTACCGTTAGAGGTACGAACATCGAGCCTAGTACTTCACATTTCTGTTCATTAGAAACGGTGCATGACTCAACTGAGCCTGGACTGCTAGTTTTCAAGGATTGTCTGCTTTCTTTCAAAAGCTTCCAGCCTGAACCACCTAATATAGTTCGGGTAGATCCTGAATCTAAGAGAGCCAAAATTTCCAAACCATAAATTTCTACACGAAGGTGAGGTCGTTTGTCTTCCTTGTCATGTGCTAACACGTAATCTAGAAGCACTTGCGAATCATGAATAGCCGATTTCGAAATAGGGTTACGGTCTATCAGACGACTTACTGACGACCCCTGTCGTTTTTTTGACATTTAGGACAATTACTGTAAACTACCTTGTCTCTCCCACACTTGAAACAAAATTTACGCTTCGTTTCCCGACATGCTCGGAATTTATGATCAGTGGCTCCACAATTCCAGCACGAGGTCGGTTTACTTGAAACTTGCAGACTGTTTTCGACAACAGCTGAGTTATTTTGTAGTACCTTACTAGACGATTCCGCTATTACTGCAAAAGTTTGAAAATTTCCATGACTTGGTTTGCGGTAAGCTAATTCAGGTTCGAGCATTCCTCGATAATTTGTTGAGGGTGGCTGAAATTTCAACACCCTTGCTTGAGTTTCTTCTACAGCGCGGCTTAGCTGGAGTAACTCAGAAACGGTTTGAATCGGTTGGAGAGCCAACTGTGTTTGAATATATGGTAGCATATTTCGACGGATAATTTTCACTCTAGTGTCTTCTGGTGTAGGTTTGTCCAGTTTTCGAAAGAGGTTTTCCATGGCTGTTACATAGAAGATAACTTTTTCTTGAGCACCTTGGGTACGTTGACGAATTTCATCCCACAAGTTGAATTTGTAATCGAACGGTTGATAAGCTTCTTTCAATTGAGAACATAATTCATCCCATGAATTGAATACCTGTGTGCGCTTCATGTGTGAGTATTTCTAAAGCAGACCGAAGTAATGCCTCCTTGGAAACTCCTCTAGAGACTCTCAACTCCTCGATCCTGTCCAAAAATTCATTAACACTACCTTTCCCGTTGAATTTCACATGCCAACGACTGACTTTCACTCGACGATTGTCATAGCCTGATAGGTAATACGTAGGTACGGGACCCTGAATAGGAGAGAATCCACAGTTACTCATACGGTTCGCTAGCTGAACATCATTCAAATCCTGTGAAGAGGTGTTTCTTTCCGTCAGACAGTTCAATTGAGCCATCCTTGAGGCTGAATCAAGATTAATTGTTGAACTATTAGGTTCCTGAGGAAAGGTTACATGTCGAGGTTGTAACGTTGATGTTAAATTGTACGGAATATATCGATGTGTTGACAAATTTTCCAAAGTGAGATTTCTTGTTTCGCTAATTGATGGGAAATGATGCAGACTTTGTGGATTCACTTCAACATCTACCGAGTCATACGATACCCGAGTTCCATGATTGGACTCTGTGAGTATGGGATTAGGTTGATCTAACAATGATCCGCCATTTCTATTCGATGTCTGACTGATCTTGTTAGAACACTGGCTAGTTGAAAAACCATTCTTAGCTAGATTAACTTCCCCAATCAATTTGGAACAATGCTCAATTGAATCCAGTTTTGTAGCTTCTTGTAATTCACTACAAGGTATACGTCCTAATCTAAGTGAAATATGAACAAGTCTAGAATATATTCTTTTATATTCATTTTCCCTATTATTTGTATCAAAATTCAACACTGATTCAGAAAGTTCTGAAATTTTTACCCTACATACATTTAGTTTGGTATTTGTATCTGAATGATTGATAATTGGAATCAAGGTCACTCCATCTTTCTCTAAACGAAGAGCATCTCTCAAAAGTATTCGTTTTTCTTGTACGGTATTGCCTATAGGAAATCCTCTTATTTCTAATTCATATGTGAGTTCATCACCAAGTAGTCTATTCACTTCCATGTTAGAAAAATTAAACTCACCAACAAAAGTGTAATAAGAAAATTAAACTAATATCTAAATTATCCAAGGGAGACCCTCCCCTTCCAAAAAAACAAAAAGAAAAAAAACCAATCACAACACACTATGACCTCAACTCACCCTGTATGAGTTGAAAAGAACAACACAAAACTAAAATTTTATAGGCTCCCCCTGTATGGGCCAAATCGAGTAACTAAAAGAAAATATTTCCAATAACTGAACTCATGCAGTATGAATCGAAATTACTCTAATCCTGATCTACCCTGTATATGTAGAACCAAAATTAAAAACCAACTAACACACTTTGATCTCAAGTGGGAAAAAAAAGAATTCTATGTAATAATGACATCAAAACAAAATTTAACACCTTCAGTCTTATAATAAAAAAAAATTGAAAACCTTTGAAAACTACACTCTTACATATTCAAATAATTAAAGATGGTTGCTTTTGTCTTAAGAATAAATCCCAAAAACATCACTATCAATCTGAAATATAAACTTTATTTCTTTTAACACTAGTAAAGAAAACCTTCAATCAGTTACCAGCATCGTTCATCAAAAATGGATTACTCAGTAATTTTTTTGATCCAATTCAAATGTATTTGTGTTCACTTTATCACTCTATCGAGAAACCCATGTGAACAGTTGAAAGTATATATACGAACACCATAATATGCGAAGTAAGTATACGAACTGCAACAGCTGATCAATAGTCAAATCAATACCTGCAAAACGAACTTCTCCACATAAACAAACAAGCTAGATGCCAATTACATAACGGTGGGCGCCAATTTTATAACCTGCAAACGCCTCTAAATGATAGGAGCAACGTTTGGGGGCTATAATGGGGTTCTTACTAATTAAAATAATGTAGTTAGCTACTTTCGGAGAGTGGGTGAAACTACATATAGACCTAACATTGAATCATTCAATCAGCATTGGGAGAGGGACATGATCATTTGATACTCTTATGTATATATACATCAGAGTTTACATATATATATAAACTAGTAAGTGGTAAGTAAATATAATTTCAGAGTTGTGGTATTTAGTTATTTAGATTCTTCCAGAATCACTGGTAGATAAGGCTCCACAGCCAAAAAGCAGCATTCAAATGTAACCAATAAACAGGATAATTGACAAGCAACAAGAGGTGTGATATTGATATAAGTAAAGCAATAGAAATATAAACTAGTAAGTGGTAAGTAAATATAATTTCAGAGTTGTGATATTTAGTTAGTTGTATTCTTTCTTCCAGAATCACTGGTAGATAAGGCTTCACAGCCAAAAAGCAGCATTCAAATGTAACCAATATACAGGATAATTGACAAGCAACAAGAGGTGTGATATTGATATAAGTAAAGCAATAGAAATAATGGAAAGAGCTCGCCTGATCAAGGTGTTGCCAGCGTATATCTTTCTCCAGTGGATATTCTCTTCGTTCGAAACTTTGTAGAGATCTGGTGTGATCATAAATGATCTTGAGATTCTGTGGTAAGTGGTATAGTTGTAATCAATGATCTTCTGGTTGCCAGAGACTTCTTGTAGTACCGTAACAAAGGTAACAATAAGCTAATCGTCAAGATTTAACCAGCGTACAACGAAGAGATAAAGCGAAAGGGCCAAAAATAAAAAGGTCTGAAACAAAGTAAGGTTATACGAACAATTCTGTGCCAAGTTCCAGTTTTATTTGGGAAAGGTGCCTATTAAGATACCTCTCAATGGATAGTTGACAAGCTAGTGGAAGATGTACCTGTATATAGTGGATGGCCTGAAGTGAGGTCTAACGATTACGGCTTGAATAGGAAGATAGAATAATTCAAATCCCAAAACACTGAAGTGGATATTTCTTTCTTTTCTCAAGAATAAGAAACTCTTATATTCACCTCCTAATACGTATGAGGCAAATCCATCCAAGATGTGAGCACAATTCTCAAATTCAGCTCTAGCCATGTGCCGTGATGATCAAAAAAGGAAAGGATATCCCCCTTTCAAAGGTATGTCAACTTGTCAACTAGTCAGTTTTATTTCGCAATCCCATGAAATGGGTTAATTATTGCGGTTATCTGGTCGTCATGGTTATTGATGTCACATACGGTCTGTTCGGGGTAAAATCATCTTCAATGACGTCACAGGTGAACCCTTTTAATCAAACCTTTCAATGATATGAACTAAACAGAAGTGACACAGATTGCCAATATAACTCAACAGTGATGTAAATGTATATTTTGAAGAACTAAATATTAGAATGTTAGGTAATTTATTTCTCGTATTTGTATTTCACAGGAATCTCAGAGAACACTCGAAGCACCAATTACTACAAGGCAATTACAAACAAGAACTGATTGATGGTAAGTGATTGAATGATAACTAGATTCAATTGAATATACAGAGCGTATTATTTTCAGGGTACAGACACTTAGAATATAACGGATCTCATGAAAGCGCTATTTCAAAAATGTCATAACAATAAATAAATAAACATCGAAGTTGTATATTTTTTTTTCTCTAGGTAATTTTACGAAAATCATAAAAAAAAGGTAAATTAACACGTAACACTTTATCACATTCTTTGATCCCATCCAGAGTAGTTTTTTCATCAAACATAGTGGTTATCAACCCAAAAAGAGAGGAGATATACTGCACCAAGTCAGCGAAGACCGGCATCTTTCTGTGATAAGATGTTTGAACTTCAAATACTTGTAACAGAATGACAAAACTCAGCTGCGCGAGCGCTTCTATCAACTAACGTTAAGTATGTGTCGGTTGCCCTCCCGAGGGGTTTTCACCTTGCCGTGGTGGGGGGGCTTGCGTACTGTGATGAAGTTACGGGCTATGTCGGCGGCAGCTTAGCTGCTGGCAGGGTCTCCCAGGCCGAAGAGGCCGTAATAGAACAGTCAGACCAAGAAGGACCCAGGCTTAATCCAAGGTGTTATGCGACCCGTGCCAAAGGATGAATGGTACCTGAGCCTCATCAGGTATCACTAACGGAGCCTTTGGGATACCAGGCGACCTCCCAAAGTATCCAGCCTTACATCCATGCAGGGGGCACCATGGATGTAGACAACCCTTTCCCCCATACTTGTGGGACTTGGATGGATACAACAAGAACTACCAGAATATCAGAGGAGGACTCTTCGAGCGACTCCTCGCAAAACCAGACTATCCTGGAGGTTCAAACTGACCAGGAAAGTCATAGTCAAACGGAGGGAAACACCAGCCCCGCCGAAAGCATAACTGCAGGATTGACGGAAGTCGAACTGCAGAAGAAAAGGCCATCAGGGGCGCAAAGGCGAAAACTGATGAAAGCACGAAAAATAACTATAACATGGATTGGAAAACCATGTAACACAAAAGACCGCAGAAAAACGGAAAAAACAAAAGTAACTTGTGGAAAGGGCCAGAAAGAGACCTAGAGAGGATGTAAAAACTCCCCCACAGAAGATACTGAAAAAACCCAGGGTTTCCAGAGAAACTGGGACCTATAGCGAGGCTGCTAGGGGACTGAGGGTGGCTGTCACTGACACGCGACATCCTGAGGTCACCCTGAGTCAGGGTCAAGCAGACCTGATCCAGGAGGGACTTGTCCGCGAATTGGACAATACTCCCTCTGGTAGCCTCGAAAACCTGCAATTCAAAAAGACTTCATTCGGCGCAGGGGTCCTATGGATAACTTGCGCGAATGAAGGGACAAAAGAATGGCTCAAAGGAAGCATTGAAAACTTGGGAAATTTTTGGGAGGGGGAGGACTTGACTGTGGTCGAGGCCAACGAACTCCCTAAGAGACCAAGGGTCCTAGCCTTTATTCCGGGCCAAAAAGACGAGGAGGCTACAGTTAGGACACGCCTCAGTTAGCATAATCCTGCCCTGGGAGTGGAAAACTAGATCCTCCTGAGCAGAAAAGTGGAAGAGAAAGGACAAATCCTGGCCTACTCCTCGAATGGAAGTTCCTTCAGGACTTTGGAGGGAAACTTGTTTAAAGCCTACTACAAGCGGGCATGGTCACCTTCAAGGTCCTGAAGGGTCTTAACAGCAATGTTCAGAGTGATACAAACAAACCTGCAACACAGTAAGGGGACCTCGGCTGTCCTTACCAAAGTGATGGGGGGTTTGATATTGCTCTCATACAAGAACCCTGGGTGTACAGGGAAAAAATAATGGGATTGGGGGGTATCAGAGGGGAGTTAATTTATAACAGAACCTCAGAGACCCCAAGAACATGCATAATCATCCGTAAAGGAATAAATATACTGCCTTTGAGTAATTTGTGTTCCAGAGACTTGACGGCAGTCAAAATAAAGACAGCTGGCGGGGGCGAACCTGAGGAACTCGTCATTGGATCAGCATACCTCCCTTACGACAGTCCGGAACTACCACCAACCAGGGATGTGGAGGAGTTGGTAAGGGGCCTGCCAAGCAGAGGGACTACAACTCATGATTGGCTGTGATGCCAATGCACACCACCTAATCTGGGGAAGCACAAACACCAATGAAAGAGGTGAGCACTTACTACAGTTCATTATGGCAAATAACTTGGAGATTTCGAACATAGGTAATAAACCTACTTTCGTAAATGCGAGACGTAGTGAAGTGATAGACGTAACGATAGGAACTACATTTGTAAGTAACTACATTCGGAAATGGAATGTGTCCGATGAGGAAAGTTGTTCAGACCATCGACACATAAACTTTGAAATCGATCCTAACATATCAAAATCCCCGGAAAACAAACTGGGGAGCCTATAAGGTGGACCTGAAAACCTGTTTAGACCGCATGGATTTTGACATCAGAGATTCCATTGACCTAGAGTTGGCAGCAGATCGATTACAGGGAGCTATCATCTCTACGTACAACGAACATTGTCCCATAGTAAATCAGAGATCAAACAGGAATGTGCCCTGGTGGAATGAAGTTCTGGCAAGGATGAGACAAAAAACTTGAAAATCCTCCAAAGGCGAAAGATTCATGGGACCAATACAGAAGGACCCTAACTGAGTATAACAAAGTCCTGAGAAAATCCAAGAGAAGGCAATGTGAGGAGATCGAACAGACCCAAGCATGTGCCATCCTCCACAAAATACTCTCGAAGAACCTCAGGTCTCAATAAATAATTTGAAAACAAATACGGGGGAGTATACAAAAACCGGAGAAGAGACTATCAGACAGCTTTTCCGGGTACACTTTCCCGGATCAGAAATTACAAATCTAACACCGGAGTCCTGGACGAATTCAGAACTGGAGACCCCGAAAAAGACATCCAGGGAGGACTGGCAAATGACAAAGAAGGTGATACATATGGAGAAAATCAAATGGGCTATAAACTCATTTCAACCCTATAAGTCGCCGGGACCGGATGGCATATACCCAGTAATGCTTCAAAAGGGACCGAAAGTACTTTTCAAAAAATTGTGTATAATTCTCAGGGCAAGTTTAGCACTGGGACACATACCAAAAATTTAAAGACTGATCAGGGCCACCTTTATTCCGAAACCTGGGAAAATCGGACAAGGCTCGGTGAAGGCTTTGAGACCAATTAGTCTCACGTCATTTGCGTTGAAAACGCTAAAAAAACTACTTGACAGGCATATTAGGGACGTAACACTGGCTATCAGACCATTACATCGAGACCAATATGCATACAGGTCAGGTGTGTCAACAGAAACGGATCTATGTCGGGTAACAGAAAAAGTAGAATATACCTACAAAAACAAGGAAGTACTCTCAGCTGCTTTCTTGGACATTGAGGGCGCATTTGATAATACGTCATTAGAATCAATCATCCAGGCGTCGAGGAGAAGAGAGATCGACAAGACAAGCTGAAGGTGCATAGACTACATGCTTAGGGGAAGATTGGTATATACAACCATTATGGGGAAAACAGTCGTGGCACGGGTAGCAAGGGGCTGTCCACAGGGGGGGGGGGTTCTATCCCCTCTATTATGGAACCTTGTAATGGACGAGCTACTATGTCTCCTGGACTGTAATGGGTATAAAGCACTGGGCTATGCAGACGACTTAGTCATCCTAGTCCAGCGTAAATACAATAATGTAGTGAAGGGATGCATGCAGCAGGCCCTGAACATCATAACAAGATGGACCGAAGAGGAAGGGCTTAACATAAGCCCATCCAAATCGACCATAGTAGCATTCACCAAGAGGACTAAAATGGAGGGTCTCGGACCTCTAAAACTTCGAGGTGAAGAAATACAAGTGTCGGGGAAGGTTAAATATCTGGGAGTTTTCCTAGATTCCAAACTGACCTGGAACCAACACTTGGACAGGATAAAGAGGAAAGCGGAGGTAACACTGATAGGTGCGTCGCCAGACGCACCTATGGAAAAACATGGGGACTAAAACCAGACATGATATATTGGATATACACGATGGTGGTTAAACCCATGATAACATAACATAACTCTGGTCTGGTGGCCAAAGGTGAAGCAGGCGACCGTCATCAACAAACTAGGCAAGGTGCAAAGACTTGCATGTTTGGGAATGACGGGAGCAATGAGAAGAACCCCAACAACTGCATTGCAAATGCACCTGAATCTACCTCCTTTACACTTTGTGATAATGTGGGGAGGCCAGGATGGGCCAATTCAGACTGGAAAACTCACCGAAATACAGAAAATCGGACCGAACAGAAATTTCGGAACAAGTGGAGGAGCACATATTGAATATGTGCACAGACCACATGAGGCCTCAGCTGCAGATTATGCAACGAAGGGATAGAAACAGCTCTACACATCTTATGCGAATGTGAGGCACTGAATCACATGAGGCGGGCAATATATGGACGTATGAAATTACGTTCAGAAGAATATGACGAACATCCAACACGGAGCCTGTACAAACTAGTACAGGGAACGAGACTGATGAAATGGGTGTCATGAGAAGATGGGAGAACAAACGCAGTAAGCCCAAGAGGCTGCAGTGTTTCCTGGAGACCAGGACTAAATGGACAAGTCAGACAGCTCCCAAGATACAAAAAAAAATGTGTCGGTTGTTTGTGATGAAGTTTACTTACGCCCTATAAAGGATGTTTGTTGCGATACATCGCAGAAATATCAAAAAATCAAAAGGAATTCGATATGATGTACCATATACCATATATGTACCATATTTTTAATATTATCCCGATTGCATATATTTCGTCGTATACGCCGACTTAGAATCCGTTTTGAAGCCTACTGATGATCCTAAAAAACCTCAACATCATATTCCGGCAGCTGTGTGTTACTACTTAAAGTGCTCATACGATGACACTCTATCCTTTTATAGGGCATACCGTGGAGAGGATTGTATGCAATGGTTCGCTGATGAGATGGGTCAACTAGCTACAGTGTTTTGGTGTCCATACGACATCCATTTGACTGTAGAGCAAGAAGTTGAGTTTCGAAGAGCTACACACTGCCACATCTGCGAAGAACCCTTCACTCCCGAAGATAAGAAAATACGCGACCATAACCATCTCATACCATGTGA